TGTATCACTGTATCACTGTATCATTGTATCATTGTATCATTGTATCATTGTATCACTATATCACTGTATCACTGTATCACTGTATCACTGTATCATTGTATCATTGTATCACTGTATCACTGTATCACTGTATCATTGTATCACTGTATCATTGTATCACTGTATCACACACTGTGACGATGCTTGTATCGGAATGACGACACCACGTGACTGATGACGTGTGAGGCTTGCACCTCGTGCAGCATCAGAAGATCAGGACAGCTGGTCTGAAACACTGGGCGCTTCGCATGACTCTCGTGTTTGACTTTACATTGACTTGGTTGTGTGTGTGTTTGGGATTCAGTAGAATAGTTTAGAATAACCTCAACACCAGACAGAAACTGAATGCACGGCACACCTCTGTTGCATTTGATCATGTTCTGGCTGGAGTCTCAGAGACCCCGAACAGCTCACCCGAAATAGTTTTGCTACTACTCACGTCAATTATTAATTATAATCACACACTTGTGTATTTCATATTATGGATCAATATGTGAATCCACTGACCGGACTGCGCATGACAGGAGTTAGCGCAGATTAAACACTTTTAACGCGTCCTGCTCCGCGATGTTTGCTTCGAGAGGCTGTAGACCCCGAGTCTGGCCACCAGGTGTCGCTGATGCGCGCTGTGTTTAAAGCTTCGAGCAATGAACCGTTTTTCGGCACGATTTGATGAAAGCCTCAAACGGTTCAGATAGCCTCGGTTTCCCATCACTACTTTTAACTATTGCCATGCAATGTGCTAAAAATGACAATAAAGTTGACTTTGATATCGTCTGACTTAAACACCGGCAGGACGCGCCGAAGAAACGCGTTATTGATGGCCACGATCAGCGTGACGTCACCGCGCGCGATGTTCCCGCCTCTCAGTCCCGCCACACGTGATCCCCGAATCAAGGACCCAGTATGGCGGAGTCTGTCAGACGGTGCCTCTGTCGCTTCTGCGCGGTCCGGCGGAACTCAGATGACTGCCGTTAATCAGGTGAGCGAACACCGGACACCGACAGCATCACGAGCTGCTGCTCTGTCGCGGATGTTCCACAGCAGCTTCCGTTAACGGCGACAGAACAGATTTAGAAACCCTCTTCTGTCGAGATCAGCTGTTAGGATGGAAGCGGCTTGGACTGGTATTGTGTGATTGTTCTGGTACACACACACACACACACTCACTCGGGTGGTGTGTTAAAGAGATGTTCAGATGCGGTGGCGGTTGTTTTAGGATCAGATGCCTGACGGAAAGAACAGCAGCTAACAGATACATTTAAAACAGAAGGAAGATCAAAACAAAGCTCTAGCTAATGCTTAGTGTGTGGGTCATATGCTGCTATATGTAATCTTCTGTTAGATGTGTCTTGTTTGTTTAGATGTCGATTCAAGAGATGGCATATGGTGCATTATGATCTATTTAGGCTCCGCTTTCTCGCTTGAGGGACAATGGAAGCCCTGGAGTGAACATAATGCCCTCCTCAGACTGTCAGGAGATTAGCAGAAATGCGCTCCATAACCGACTTTCACCAAGCAGCCCAGCGCCCCAACCCACCCTCCAGCGCCCGTCTGGCGAGGGCAGAAACACGGGTCACTTCTGGAGGAGAGAGAAACCTGATGGTCCGGAAGAACCTGAGATCACTTTATTGGCACGGGGAAAGGAATCTTTACATTGCCAAAGCATTAATAACACTATACATACAAATTCACAACATATGCACACACAAACTAGACTTAAATATAAACAGTTGGTAATATAGTTAGCAACTGAAATGTTTTTCAATCTTATAATATTTTTGAGTGCAGTGTGAAGGTAGTTCTGTCCCGCTGGGTGCTCTTTTGTCGTGACAGGACCTCAGTCTTTGTTATGGGTAGTGAAGTGGGTCCCTAATTTGTGGATATTTAGGGCAGGCTGTTAGAAAGTGCAGTTCTGTTTCCACTACCTTTTCTGTGCAGCCTTTTGACACTTCATTCACTGATCCGTCATTTCACCACCATCACAGGGTTTCACTAACAGAAGCTCATATAAGAAGTGTTAGTGTTCACTAATTACAGTATTTGAGTAAATATAAATGATTGAGATTAAACAATTGACCTGGTCTTCTGTAAAAACAATATATATATATTGATTAGCCAACACATTCGATGTCGTCGTCCACGTGAAGATAAGCAGCGGTTTAGTGGCTACATCTGTCGATTCAGGTTAGAGCTGTAATAACGCAGATCACTTTATATGAACAAAAAATTGACTTCATGTAAATAAGTACTGTCCTTTGTGGGAAATTCCCCTGCGTGTGAGAGAGTGTGTGTGTGTGTGTGTGTGTGTGTGCGAGTGTCTGCGTCTGTGCGAGAGTTGTGTGTGCGAGTGTGTGTGTGTGTGCGAGTGTGTGTGTGTGTGCGAGTGTGTGTGTGTCTGTGCGAGTGTGTGTGTGCGTGTGCGCGAGTGTGTCTGTCTGTGTGTGTGTGTGTGTGTGTGTGTGCGCGAGTGTGTCTGTGTGTGTGTGTGTGTGCGTGTGCACGCATTAGTTTGCATTGCCCTTTGAACTGAGGAAGTTAGCCCTGCTATTTTCTTTTCCACTGACTGACTTTTCCATAGCTGCTCAAGAATGTGTCCATGTGAAAGGTCCCTTCTGAAGATGTGAAACCATTCATAAATTCCATTAGAGATGCAGAGCTTCATCTGAATGTATTGGAGGGCTTTGACAGCAGTGTCTGATGCTAATCTGTTCACGAAATCATAAATGATGGCAGACGTGTGATGCATGTGAAGTTGCTCTCTCTCATTGATGGTTTGTGTTTGATGTTTGTGAGTCCAGTCTGTAAACAAGAGCTTTAGTTCATGGATCTCTGTTTTCTAACAGCTGCTGGCTGGATTTGTCGAGACGACGAGCAGAAACCGCTGCTGTGCTGGAACTAAATCTGAAGTTTTGAAAACGCGTCAGCCGCTCCAAACATCATGACTTCCCAGAGTCATTCAGGTACGTGTCTCTGTGCGTCACATGATTGTGTTTTTCTGCTCGTCGAGGAAGTGTAGTGCGTTAGGTTCTGCTTGACACATGCAGTGCGTAGTAAGATCTGTGCGCAGATGAAGAGACTTCAAGCTGTTAGGGTTAGAAAAGGAGCAAAAGTGATCAAAGCCTCTTCACTGATGTTTGCGTTTGAGTTTCATCTTCTGGCCTGAGCGCCGGTAATCCCGGATTCGTTTAATGATGTAATGGGTTTTCCAATCAAACACAGCGCAGCTCAGCGATCTCAAGCACCAGTTACGCTACAGAAACCCTGCTGTAGTTCTATAGTGATGAGTTAAGCACGTTAGAGTGTGTTTATTATGAGTATCATTGGGTCAGTTGTTTTGATTTGTCCAGTATCTTTGTTTTAGCATGATAGGCCTGCGGTTAGCATTAGAATCCTTTCAATTTGTGTAGATTTAATGAGCACTTTATGAATTAAGGAATAATTTATGAATTAAATATCACAGTGTTTTCTCTTATTTTGTCCTCTCTGTTCATAATTTTCCTTTTTCTAAGAATGTTCTTTATTAAATGTTTTACAGAAATAGTTTTGCTTCTCGCCGTTTCAGGTGCTTAAGATCCTGTGTGAAGGGCATTTAATGAATTGCATAATTTTTCTAATCTCTAGCACACATGGTTGAGCGTGTGATGTGGACTCCCATCATCCGTCAGGGTTGGTCAGACTGTGGTGATGATGGTCCTGTTCTATTAGTCCCGTCCCTCCTTCTGATCCGTTTCTCATGTTTATATTTATCTGAGGACTGAAAGCCTGCTCCGCGCTGCAGCAGCTTAACTCGCTGCTATTTATAGATCCTTGTGGATCCCGCACGTGTGCCGCACAAACAAGTGTCCCTCCAGAAGACAGCAGATCCCCGATCCGTCCGGCAGCTGTTCGGACAGCTCTGTGAGGCTCTGAACAAAGGAAGGCTTCCCAGCGCCCGAGCCTCGTTTGCAGATCACGCATGGAAGCGTGCTGATTTTAATTGCGGTCGGTTCAGACAAACGAGACCGAAGCAAGCTAGCGGGGTGAGAGAGGAACAGATACTGGATGTTCTGCCAACATCTGACCGGTCCACTTACAGTCTACACAGAACCGTCACTGCCATCCCACCGTTTGACATTTCAGGCATTTGTCTTTGTCCATTTTGGACACTGGTGTGAAGATCCTAATGATATCAGCTCATTTTCCTGTACACATAATGGTTGCTGTCTGGTAATGAATGAATAACAGATCTTCTTTACACACAGATCAAGCAGTTTATACGGTAGCCGAGAGAGCTCAACGCTGCAACTTAAGAAAACACATGCAAATTGAAAAAACACCAGCAAATTAAGAAAACATCTTCATCAGTTTGACAACACACGCGCTGCAAATCCTCACAACACATGCAAATAGCACGGACCACAACGGAAATGTTTCATGGGGACCCAAAAAAGTGACGGACCCGGCTGGGATTTGTTTTGTGCAGTGGCTTTTTTTTTTTTATTTATGATTTATTTATTTAAAAAAAAGAAAAGATCTTTAACTTTTTATTTATTTGTTTTTGTTCTGTTTATATTTCATTTTTATTATTCTTTATATTTATTGTTTTGTATTCTGGTTGTGTATGTAATTTATTGCTATGACTGTATCCCCTGTGAATGTTATATCTTCAATAATAAAATAAATAAATAAAAAAAAGGAATCACTAGCAGAAACTCAAAAAAAAAAAGCCACTGCACAAAACAAATCCCAGCCGGGTCCGTCACTTTTGTGGGTCCCCATGAAACTTTTCCGTTGTGGTCCGTGCTATTTGCATGTGTTGTGAGGATTTGCAGCGCGTGTGTTGTCAAACTGATGAAGATGTTTTCTTAATTTGCTGGTGTTTTCTTAAGTTGCAGTGCGTTGAGCTCTCTCGGCCACCGTAAGTTTAAGATGCTGCAACGATTATTGTGACAGAACGGCAACCAATGCCTAGTAACTACTATAAATTCACAGAAACATTTTCTTACATTGTATTGGTGCTTTTGCACCGTGTTACTTTAGAAAAACTAGTCTCAGTGTCAATATAGTTCATGGTATTTGTTGAATATATTGTGCATTTTTTGTAGTGTTGATTGATAGTTTTGCTGAGGCTCTTGCTGTGTTTATTGTGGTGTGAACAGATGTTCAGTGCTGATGCACAGGATGGTATTTAAAGTTCTGTTTCTTTCTCCTTTTTGTGGGGCAAGAAAGGCTCGTTATGGTGCGTCTGATTATTAGCAGACTAGAAAACGGCCCCCTTTGACAGAAAGTGAACAGCACAGATGCTAAATCAGGATCTGACCCAGATCAGTGAGGATGTTCTCATATATCAGCATTAATGTCACTGCCATCTGTGTTTCCTGGATCTTTTTCATCTTTATAATCAAAACGTCATATATAACACAAACAATTTATTCACATCTCGTTATTTTCAGGAGTTAAATCTGCATATGGTATCTCTTTGTGAGCGTGCATTAATACAGCAAAACATTTACCAGATGAAATGGCCTCTAAAAATGTTATCGCAAATGAGTCGTGTTTATAAGTGGCATGAGAGTTTAATCAAGACAATCTGACATGACATGGTTTCACTCTCATTCTAGCCTGCTAACGGACCGGATGCCGGTTGAATTTTATGAATAAAATAAAACAATTATTTACCTTTTCACATGAACGTGTTTTTTTTTTTATAGACCTGTTGTCTCTAGTCTATAGGCTAGTCTTTTTGGTCAGAAAAAAACTAAGGGTTAAACTTAAACTCTAACACAGAACAAAGTCTTTGGTGTCGAGGAGGCTATCGTGAGCTGTGTTTCTTTAGGTCATATCAGCTGAATTTGCCCAGTAACACCCTGACATTTGGACTAAAACACACGTTAGAGTCAAGGTTGTGTGTGTTTGTGTTTATCACGTCACTATTACCTAGGCACATCCACCCTAACCCACAGCATCAGCACATAAGGCCATCTTCAATACTTTCTCCACCAGCAAACATCATTTATTATTGCAGTCAAAGCCTTTGGTTGAAGTGATGTTGCTGTGGACAAAAGCAGCTCTCAGTAGATGGCTGAATGTTTGCTTTGGGAATTGCGGTTTTGCATGCCACGTAGGAAACTCTGCTCTGTTCTGCTGTCAGTTTCATGACTACAACAAGGCTAACATGTAGTTTTATTGTCTTGTGGTTTTCTGAAGGTGCTTTGCTCCACGAAACCGAGCTCAGGTTTCATACCTGTTGCTCTACAGGGTGATGCCTAACCACAGCTCTCTTATCAAGTTAGTAGTCCAACACATTGGCATGCAAAACGATCCATTTAGTCATCTTGGTTTAAAAAACCACAGCATATCAGTTTCACATATCAATTTCAGGCTGTGCGTATTCCTCATTCAAGCTTAAACATTGCATTTCCCATGCAAATCACAAGTCTTTAGCAGCTTATATATCAGCATTAATGTCACTGCCATCTGTGTTTCCTGGATCTTTTTCATCTTTATAATCAAAACATCATATATAACACAAACAATTTATTCACATCTCGTTATTTTCAGGAGTTAAATCTGCATATGGTATCTCTTTGTGAGCGTGCATTAATACAGCAAAACATTTACCAGATGAAATGGCCTCTAAAAATGTTATCGCAAATGAGTCGTGTTTATAAGTGGCATGAGAGTTTAATCAAGACAATCTGACATGACATGGTTTCACTCTCATTCTAGCCTGCTAACGGACCGGACGCCGGTTGAATTTTATGAATAAAATAAAACAATTATTTACCTTTTCACATGAACGTGTTTTTTTTTTTATAGACCTGTTGTCTCTAGTCTATAGGCTAGTCTTTTTGGTCAGAAAAAAACTAAGGGTTAAACTTAAACTCTAACACAGAACAAAGTCTTTGGTGTCGAGGAGGCTATCGTGAGCTGTGTTTCTTTAGGTCATATCAGCTGAATTTGCCCAGTAACACCCTGACATTTGGACTAAAACACACGTTAGAGTCAAGGTTGTGTGTGTTTGTGTTTATCACGTCACTATTACCTAGGCACATCCACCCTAACCCACAGCATCAGCACATAAGGCCATCTTCAATACTTTCTCCACCAGCAAACATCATTTATTATTGCAGTCAAAGCCTTTGGTTGAAGTGATGTTGCTGTGGACAAAAGCAGCTCTCAGTAGATGGCTGAATGTTTGCTTTGGGAATTGCGGTTTTGCATGCCACGTAGGAAACTCTGCTCTGTTCTGCTGTCAGTTTCATGACTACAACAAGGCTAACATGTAGTTTTATTGTCTTGTGGTTTTCTGAAGGTGCTTTGCTCCACGAAACCGAGCTCAGGTTTCATACCTGTTGCTCTACAGGGTGATGCCTAACCACAGCTCTCTTATGTAGTTAGTAGTCCAGCGCATTGGCATGCAAACTAATCCATTTAGTCATCTTGGTTTAAATAACCACAGCATATCAGTTTCACATATCAATTTCAGGCTGTGCGTATTCCTCATTCAAGCTTAAACATTGCATTTCCCATGCAAATCACACATCCACAAATGTTTTCAATGTTTTCACGGAGTCTGTATGGTCTTTAGGAACAGAGAAGCAGCTTTTGCATGTTCTTGGTCTGGGGCTTCACCTCATGAATGGAAATGCACTCAATTCTGGAATAATGTGGTAAACTTTTATTAACCTTAGATTAATGGTGCTTTGGTGTTGGTCACATGTAATGTCACTCACTAAAACCTGCATGAGTGACTCATTTGTTCAGACCGCTATATAAAAGGCCTTTTCTCGCTGTGCACGTGTTTGTTTCGTACAGTAGATGAAGTGGGCTGATTTGGAGTTTTACATTGTAAATACTAACATGTCTTGTAACATTGAACTCGCTGCTCACCCTAACTGCTTCGGTTCATCAGCAGACTTGTTATGAACCCTACTGTGTGTAAGAGAGCAAACACAATCCGTCGTGTAAACAGCAGCGGATCTGAGCATCTGGGCTGTGTCCTGCTAAAAATAGACACGCACATATAAACAGAATTCCCTGATGCGCACGGCTCTGCGCTCGCTGCGATCGGGCCTAATTAGATGAACATCAAAGCAGTTTCCCGGGGTTGTTTAGTCCTTAGAAATTTCCCACAAATAGAAGCTTGTGGAGGATTTGTTGCCCTGGGGATATCGCCTGTTATTTTCTGGATGGAAACCCGAGCCAGTGCTTCTGCTGTTGCGTTACAAAGGGAAAAAGCTGTGTGGTAAATATCAAGCTAATGATCGCTGGTAAAAATAGTCGGAGATTGAACTGAGATTGAGCAGGCGACAGGCGTTCAGCTCAGTATGTTGTGTTGAGCGTCTCTGTCGGTCTGCGCGTCTGCTTGCATACTGATGATGCCCGCTGCACTGGTTCAAGCCTTTTCCTCCATCCATCCCTCCCTCTCGCTCTCTGGGGTTATTTATAGCCGTGTCTTGCTGCGTTGGGCTGCTGTGAAGAAGTGAAAGCCTTTTCATGTTCTCTGTAATTACCATCTGCTGCAGGAGAGTCGGGCAGTGCTGCTTTACTGCTCACTTACACTGTTATTTACCGCACTGCTGCTCAGCTGCTGTCACTGGACTCACCGTAAAGGTCTCCTTACTTTAAAACCTGCATGATTGTTGAAAAGAACAGTTTAACATGCCAAAGTGTAACAAACAATGAAGGGGAAACTAAATCACCAGCTGTCACTGTTAGAGCAGGAGAAATATAGTTTTTCCTTCACTGCTTGATCGTTTACAGAAAATATGAAATACTTATGATTTGTGTGTTGATTGCAAAACATGTATTTCCACAGAATGACTCAGGAGAATATTTTGCCATTGAGTCATGTTCTGTCTCTGTCTCAGACTCTCAGATGGACCAGACTGTGGAGCTTTTGAAGCCGTCGGCGTTTGACCACATTCCCACAGGTAACTGTCTACCGCTTCATGAGGATTCTCCAGCAGGAACGCTGCGGTGTAGAGCAGTGCTCATTTGTCACAGACAGCAGAGACAAAACATGCTAAATACAAATAAAATACTACCAAATTTAGTGGATTGGTAGAATAGCCATATAAATCAAGGTTTTTGACTGAAGGAAACACCGCTTATATTTCTAGTTGTCAAAGGTTGTGTGAGTCCAGTCAAGCTGCACTGTATTTTGGCACAAATTTATCTGTCATTTGGTAGAATCTAGTTCAATTAGACAGATGTTAAGGACATTTTTGTTACTTTTTATGATAAACAATTTGAGTCGCCACTGAAGCAAAGCCAGTTGAGGACAAAATCTGACCCTTTGACCTGTAAAAATGAACCTGTTTGTTCATCCGGTTGGTCAGTGCTGTTCAACAGTCAAACATCAGCATCATCTGCCGTCTCTCATCTCTGTCATCTCCAGTGTTCCTGCACCAACTGTCAATGTGTGAAGATATTTATTCAGTTTTTCATACACATTTTGTTTTCAGTGGTTAATGACGCACTCAACAGTTTAGCCACTTGTTTAGTTCCCTCATTCTTAGTCTTTACAGATCTCCTCACAGAAACGAGATCGGCCGCCCCTCGCCTCACCCAACACCCATTAGCGCTAACGAGCAGAGACCAAACCATCAGGAGCACTCGCATCAAAACAGTTAGCAGACATTAAACGGGCCTAAAATAGCCCAGTATTATGAAGCGGCATGGAGCTCATAACCAGGAGAGAGACAGAGACGAGGAAGACTACATGTAGCATTGAGCCATTAAGTAGACGGACGTCTGGTGGAGCTCGTTTGAGAACACGAGGGATTGTTCTGCGCTGGAAACACATGACCACCAACATCCTAGAAAGCCGAAAGAATAACTGATTCCAGTTATTTGTGTCCAAATGAAGTCGTGTTTGAGCGTCAGAGTCATCCTGATTTCAGATCAGTTTTGTTATATAATATTTTAGATGCTGTTGCTGCTGGTTTATCAGTGATCTCTGAGAATCTGTGAAATAGTCTTGAATTGGATGTCGCTGAGCTCACGGAAACACTTCACTCTTTATGTCTAAAGGCCGGGACACACCAAGCCGACGGTCGGCCGTCAGTGAGCGTCTGTGGGGCTAGTTTGTTTGTTCGCTGTGCTCCACACCTCGGCTCTCTCCACTGAGATGTTGAATCGGCGTCAGGGTCGTCGGTGCGAGCGAAAGCTCTGATTGGATGTTCAGTTTAGCGAACGAGTCAGAGCCCGAGAATTAAAGAGAAAGTGATGAAAACGAGTAAGTAAATGCAGGCGGCACAGACAGAAGGCTGTTCTAATGTTACATGATCTTAGCCAAGCATTCAATATGTGAATATTTTCATAAAAACGTGAGCCGATTAAAATGAAGAAAGTTAACATAACTGATATTCAAAAGGGTAAGCTAGCACTGCTTTGTTTACATTTCATATATCTGCGTTTATCTCGTATAACCTTGTTTCATTTTATCCTTTTAAATGACGAATATATACTATTGATAGCTGCTGATATAGACCGCTAACTCCTCTCACGCAGAACGCATGTGTTAGTTTGCAGTCGGCTGTAGTCTGAGCCGTGTGTTCAAGCGCTGCTTTTGGTCCAGACGCTGCCGATTCTGGGTTCTGGAGCGGTGCGTTTGCTGCAGACAGACAGACACGCTGTGGATGAATATCAAGAGCAGAAGCTCTGTTTCCACACTGATGGCTGTCAGTCTAAAGTCTGTGATTTGTAGGGAAGGGTTTGCTTTTGCTGATGGACTGGGTGTTGGTCCATCACACTGGGACAAACGCCAGCGTCCCGCGACCCTACAGACGAGACGTGGTTTGGAGAATAGATGGATGGATGGGGTTGTTTTGCCTTTTGAGTGAAACGTGTGAGATGTTGAGGTCGGTCAGAGCCTGCGGGACTCCAGGCTTGATGTGATACGAAGCTTTGAGAGCTTATCAAAGTCTGTCTGAACGCTCTGCTCTTGGCAACATGTTTGTCTCCAAAAGCATTACTGTTTGCACCGAACAGGAGAGAGCTCACATAACTGCAGCGCAACAGTAGAGTGCTGTATCAGGGTTTCACGTGAAGAGAGGCTTTCATTCGGTCTCACATGCTACTGGAAATTTCCTTCTGAAGCAGCGAGTTTGTCACATTCAAGTGCTTTATCAGAAAGAACAGGAATCATGGAAGACGGCCCATTGCTCATTTATTTGGGGAGTCTTATTTAAGCCAAAATGTATTGAAGGTATTTAGTCAATATCCAACAGATTTTGAATAAATTGTAGTGTCCCATTCATTGGTAACCATATAAACATTCACCACACTATTTAGATTTTCAGCTTGCTGACAGTGCCAAATGTTTAGTCAAATAAATGCTGTTTTTGCGGTGTAAAATACATACAATATTCTTACAATTTGCATCAGATAGTTATTTATATATATATAAATGTGCATGACTGTAACAACAAGAGAACGCAATGTAGATGTGGGGGAAAGAGGAATAAAATTTACATTACTTCGGCTATGTTTCTCTCCGTTATCTCAGAGTTTCCCAGTTGTAAATACGACTTGAGAGGCTGTTCTTGTCCAATTTCCAACTAGGAAACTTGTATTTATGATAACTCTGATAGCTTGTGAAGACAGCATTACTTTTAGCTGTTGTAGAAGTGAAACATTTGCATGACTGCTGATTCCATGCATCGAACACACTGACTTTGTGGGTGAGTGAGTGTGTGTGTGTGTGTGTGTCTATGCTTGTGTGTGTGTGTGTCTGTATGCTTGTGTGTGTGTGTGTGTGTGTGTGTGTGTGTGTGTGTGTCTGTATGCTTGTGTATGCACATGCACGTGTGTCAACAGTAGATGAGGATGCCAGATGAGAGTAAAGCGTGTCAGCATTGTCTCTGTGACGTCATGAGAGTCAGAGAGAGTCTGAGCGCTGACAGAGCAGCGTTAGTTAGAGAGCGACTGCAGCGAGGCAGACGGGACCTGCGCCACAAACACATACACAGAAACACAGATAAAAGATAGAAACACACACACAGACAGAAGACAAACAGACAGACGTGCTCGTGCTGCAGAGGCGTGTGGTGAGCTCAACTTCATTCTGCATCTGACCTGTGCAGATGTCTTTATATCATGAATGTGTTTTTTTTTTCTGTTTTTAGTGTTTGTTTACGCTTTGTGATGGTGCTGCTGCTTGTTTATCAGTAGTTTTCTGTAATTCAGCAGCGCTGAACGTAAAGTCGTCATGACCGAGACGTCCCCGAGATGGACACAAAAACACATTCCTCTTGTTGGACTTGTGTGTGTGTGTGTGTGTGTGTTTGCTTACGTGATGCCTGTCAGCAGCAGTGGGTTGTTTACTGCTGCACGGCTCTTATCTGATGTTGTGTTTTCTGTGGCCGAGTCTGATCTGATGTCAGTCTTGTATCTGTCCTGCTTTGGGCCTGTTAGAGTCCGTGTCTCTGCGCTCGTCTTGTCAGTGTGTTTTGTCTTGTTTCTGCAGTGGAGCTGAGTTCCGCTCTGCCTGTGAGGGTTCCTCCTGCCGCCATCCCCATGGACCTGCGCGTGGAGCAGATGCAGACGCTGGACTCGAGCCGGCGCGAGCAGCAGGAGATGCTGGCGCTCAAACACAAGCAGCAGCTGCAGCGGCAGATCCTCATCGCCGAGTTCCAGCGGAAACACGAGCAGCTCTCGCGCCAACACGAGGCCCAGTTACAGGAGCACATGAAGGTCAGGACCCAGCGCTGGTGGGATGTAGTGGTTAAAGCTGGTTAACGTTTCTCAGGTGTCACAGCTTCTATGAATCGACTGCTACACTTACGAAAGCCCGGTTCAGACTACACTATTTTACCCTGATTTTGGCACGATCTGCTGAACGTAGGCCGTCATGGGGATTCGTATACGACAATTGTTCACGATTCAATCGTTTCTTCTCGTGTAGTGTGTCAGTGGACGACAGCCGATGCCAAGTCTGCGATGCTTCACGACGTCAACACAGAAAGTCTAGCATGTTTAATGTTTTATTCGTCATCAAGTAGTCAAAATCGTATAATCTGGCGCAGTGACTGTCGTAACTGACAAAAAAAATCTGAACCGGGGTTAAATGCTCACACACCCTTCAGCACACTGACTACATAATGCATGCATGTGGCGTGTGTTTAGAGCTCTTCATGTGATGCTGGGTGTGTGTCAATCACATCTTGAGGTCTCTTCATCTTTTAAATATCTAGTGTGATATAGCTGCTCATTTCTACAGGTTTACTGCACAGGTGACGGAGGTTGTGAAGGGCTTTACTGTAAACGTTACTGCCGCTTTCAGTCATTCTGCAGGAGTTCACTGCCGCTGAGCACAAAATGCCTTTAAAGAAGAGAAAACATGGCCGATGTCCAGTTAAATGAATCAAATCTTGTGCTGAACGCGGTGGATGCTCCATTTTGTTGACTTGGTGAGCTGGGAAGCGGTTGGGCGGCCCGCAGTCATGTTCTCGGTCCTTTGTACACACACTAGTGTTTATTAGTGTACTGAGCCGGCTGTGGGTTCTGCTGGTAAGGGTTAGGGTTAGCCGATTATCAGCCGTTCATCTCGTGATCAGATGATGGTTAAGGGTTAGAGTTATGTCGCAGATCGCAGGTTCAGTCTGGAGTAACCTGAGCTGATCTGCTCAATGGTAATGCATCATGAGTGGCAGCTCGCTGGGTTTGAATCTGACACCTGACAAATATTGTCCCTCAGCTTAACCGCTAGCCATATCAACCAGCTGTTAACCTGTGTGCTTGTTTCTCTCACCAACATCAGCAGGAGCTTCTGGCCCTCAAGCATCAGCAGGAGCTGCTGGAGCATCAGAGGAAGATGGAGCAGGAGCTGGAGAAACAGCAGCGCGAGCAGAAGCTCCAGCTCCTCAAGAACAAAGAACGCGGCCAAGAGAGTGAGTTCATTATGAGTTTTTCACCGTGTTACTTCTAAGTAAGAAAATCCTTTTGATGCCAGTAGTAATAAACGTCAGTTACACTGAAATATTAAGAAAGATGTGCTCAGCAGTTTCGTTTGACGGCGAGCTTTGGTAAATCCTGCGCTCTGCTGTGAACAGGTGCGGTGGCCAGTACAGAGGTGAAGATGCGTCTGCAGGAGTTTGTTCTGAATAAAAAGAAAGCACTCGCTCAGCGCAGTCTCAACCACTGCATCTCCAACAACCCACGCTACTGGTATGGGTAAGAAACGTCACACGCTGCTCTGCTTCTGATCGAAGAACATTTAGTGTTAGTTATTCAAGCGCAAACGGATGAAAACATTGATCCGAGTGACAAACAGTTCAGCAGACCTGTGTATCTGCTTGACGACTAGATCAGATCAATCCATCATTTCTAAACAATTACAGTTTGGAAGACATTGAAGAGGGATCCAGCAACATTTGTGGTGTCAAAATACACTAACACAGGCTTTCTGGCTTTAATGTGTCAGGCAGTTCATAAAGATAGGGAAAGTGCAGGGAAAATGTGATTTGAACCTGCAGCCGATGTTGCCTAACCCTAACCCTAACTCACAGCAGTGCATAACTACAGCGATTCACGTGGCTGAGCTTTATTCTGATGATAAAGCTGGAGAGACTTTATCAGTATCTGTTCATTATGTTTGTTTTCCCATCACTTTTCTTCTTTCTCACTGTCTGTTTTTCTGTGCAGGAAAACTCAGCACAGTTCTTTGGATCAGAGCTCCCCTCCTCAGACCGCCGTCAGTACCTACAACCCTCCTGCCATGGGCGTCTACGACTCCAAAGACGACTTTCCACTGCGCAAAACAGGTGCTTCATGCAACACTCTCCTTCTTTGAAGTATTTAAAGTGATGCTGGAGAAGATGAAGGCTCTGTGTGGAGATGATATCAATATATCATCTAATTATATTGTGTTATCAGTCCTTCTGCAAATTGACAGAAATAGCGGCTCTGTATTGGTGAGGTTCTTGCGTTTCGTGACCTTTGATGTGAAAGTATCCTAACCTTCAGAGGAAGCCGGCGCTGCTTGTACCGTATAATTATTCACTTTGTGGTGAAGCTGGTGTGATGCTGTTGACTCGAGCCCGGCACTGGATATGAGCCACAATTTACACTGGCCAGCATTAGCATGTGCGAGAGTGCGTGTGCGAGTGCGTGAGCGTGTGAGAGAGAGTGTGTGAGAGAGTGTGTGAGAGAGTGTGTGAGAGAGTGTGTGAGAGAGTGTGTGAGAGAGTGTGTGAGAGAGTGTGTGAGAGAGTGTGTGAGAGTGTGTGAGAGTGTGTGTGTGTGT